CTGGGATTTCATAACTAGCCTTGGAAATCTCTTTCAGTACTTAATTATCATTATAAAGTTTTTCCTTGTATCTAACCTAAATCTCCTTTATTGCTGATTTAGCCAATTACTACTTATCCTACCTTCATTGGGCATGGTTAACAATTGATCACCTTCCTCTTTGATAACCTTTAGCATATTTGAAGACTCTTATAAAGTTCCTCGTTTAATTGTCTGTTTGCAAAATTAAACATGTCCAATTGCTTTAACTTTTCCTCAGAGGTTAGTTTTCAAACCATTTTATCATTTTTTGTTGCTGTCCCCCGAATGCTCCAATTTATTCACCTCTTTCTTAGTGTGGTGCCCAAAACTGCATAGAGTACTCCAGCTAAGACCTCACTAGTGCATTAATTTAACATTGGTTTTTATATTTCTTCTTTATGATGTTAGAAGATTTATCTGGTGTTGTGTGGGGTCCATAACTCAATATTTGTTTTTTGGAAAATACAATTAACATGTACATGCTTCATTTAAATCATTGCTCTAGAGTAGGGTTGCAGATGAGGGGTTCAGTATGCAGGCTGCTCCAGGGAGAGAGAACTACCTCTGCCTTTTCTCATGGTAGTGTCTTGGGGCCATGTGAGAAGCATCTCTCCATGGCCCCTGCAGTGCCAGGTTAGGTTGGATAGGAAGTGCACGTCTTGGGGCCAGGTGAGAAGCATGTCTCCATGGCCCCTGCAGTGCCAGGTTAGGTTGGGTAGGAACTGCAGAAGGACCACCTGTGCCCTGGCAGGGGCAACTCTGGGTTGGGTGCCATGGCTGGGGGTTGGCATGGAGCAGAGGCAGCTTGGGATGGTGCGGTGATGCCTCTGGCCCTAGCACAGAGCTACTATGGCCGGGAAGGAGGGAGGGAAGGGAGAAAAAGGATAAAGCACCCACTTCCATGGCCCCAGCACGGAGCTGCCACAGCTGTAGGGGAGCTCTGTGGTGGGGCTGGTGGGCAGAGGTGGTATTCTGCACACCTATCCATGACCCTCTTTCAACATGTGCTATGTCGATTTTGATTTAGTGATTCTTTCTCTCTTCTGTTTGGTTTTATGAGAAGCAGTCCTATTCGAGGCACATCCTGTTTTCCTGGTACCGCCAAATCCTTGCGTTGCTTTAAGTTATTATAAGAGGAAGCTGTATACCTAATTTTGTGGTCATAGCTATTACTTTTTAGGAGTTCTTGAACAAACACACGCAGACAGACTCACTCAAATATATAGTAGATAAATTGGAAGAATTACCTTCTGTGTCTTACATATATATGTTAATGCACCCTGGCATACTTGCCTTTTTCTCAGCCACGTAACATTGCCAACTCCACATACCTTTTTAGCAGTATTACTGTCTGGCCAGTTACTTCCCATTTTGTTGTTGTGCATTTGATTTTTCCTTGACATGCGTAGTAATTTTCACTGGGGATGTAAAATGTTAAACGGTTAACTGGTTACTTGGTAAGCATTAAACATTTCTGCTTTTCACTTGTCATCATTGAATTTCATATTATTGAATTCAGACAAGTTCTCCTGTTTGTCAAAATTGTTTGAATTATGATCCTGTCTGCCTAAATGATAGAAATCCCCTTCCAACTTGATGCAGTCTGAACATTTTATAAGCATACATTCTGCTCCATTATCAGGGTCCTTAATAAAAATACTAAATAGTAACGGTCCCAGGATAGACCCTTGCCAGGACCCCACTAGTTATGCCTTTTGTATGGTAGTGGAACAATTTAAAAACTACTCTGTGAGTATAAAAGTTTCAGAGGGGTAGCCGAGTTGGTCTTTAACAAGAAAAACTTAAAAAACAACAAATAGTTTAGTAGCACTTGAAAGGCTAACAAAACATGTGGATCAGTGGTCCCCAACCTTTAGAGGCTCCCGGGCACCCGGGTGTGGGGTCACTCATGCGCCGGGCGCCCAGGGGCGGGGCAGCGTGTCCTGGGGCATGCTAGGGGCGAGGATGCCCTTGCACCTGGCGCCGGCATGTGCCCCAGGGCCAGGGCCGCCCGAGCGCCTTGTGCCGTGGGCCCGGGCTGGTACCTGCATGTGCCCCGGGGCTGGGGCTGCCCGAGCACCGCACACCAGGCGCAGGTGCGTGTCGCGCGCCTGGGGCCGGCACCTCCAGAGCACTGCGCGCCGGGGGCAGAGCCGGCCCAGGTTGGCGGCGGGCACACACAAATGCCCCGGCGGGCGCCATGGCGCCCACAGGCATTGCGTTGGGGACCACTAGTCTAAATAATAGTGTATATCTACACGGGCGCTCACAAATGCCCCGGCGGGCGCCATGGTGCCCGCGGGCACCGCGTTGGGGACCACTGATGTAGATGGTATCATGAACTTTAGTGGGCACAACCACTTCTTCAGATGAAGTGGGCTGTGCACATGAAAGCTCATGATACCATCTACATGTTTTGTTAGTCTTTAAAGTGCTACTAAACTATTGGTTGTTTTTTCTGTGAGTATAGTCTTTCAACTACTTTTGCATCTACTTCATATTAATTCCCTCTAGAGTATATTTCCCTAGCTAGTCTTTGAAAGAGCCATGTGTGGCTGTCAAAAGTTTCTTACTTAACTCTAAATGTAGTACATTTACTGCTTTCTTGCCCCCTTCACTGGATACAATAGGCCATCTTAAAGAAGAAAATTAGGTTGCTTTGGCATGATTTGTCTTTGGGAAATCCATGCTGCTTATTTCTTTTAACCCTGTTATCTTATAGGTGCTTACATTTAAGGTATCAAAATATTCCTTAACCTGTTTCTTCTCTGTTCAGGCTTGAGTTCCTTCCCTCTTGTTGTTAGTATTAATTGTGTTAAGCATCTAGTCACAATTAACCTTTTCAATCAAGGCTAAAGCAAAATAGATGTTAAACAGCTCATCCACCTTAATCTCCTGTTAGCTATCCTTTTCTATTAGGTAGTGAACTTGCACATTCTTTTGCTTTTTTCTTTCTCCTCATATGCTTGTAGAACAGGTGTTGGCAGCCTCTGTCTCAGGAGTCAAATATGGCTCACTAAAGAGCCAGATATGGCTTTTCTGGAGCCCCAACTCAGCCACTGCTAGCTTCCCCCACAGCAGGGAACTAGCACTGGTGATACAGCCCCCTGCATGATTCAAATGCCGATGCTAACTTCCTGAGGGGATGGAGGAGAAAGCTCCGAGCCTCCCTACCGGATCCAGCACACAGAGAACAAGCAGAGTGAAAAATGGCTCTGTGTGTTGCCCTTTCCCCCCCCCCCCCTGGCATGTGGGAAACAAGTGGAACCAAAAATGGTTCCAAGCACGTTGCCATTTTTCTTCCCCTGGGACACGCTTCCTGGAGGCTTTCCCTGTGAAACCTTCCTGGAGGCTTCCTTCCAGCAAATGGGAGCAGTGGGAGGCTGTGTTACATGGTGCCTGCGATGCAGCGTGAAAACAAGTGCATCTTTCCCCCCGCCCCCCCCCATGCCCAAACCCTGCACTCCCACCTCTCACTTGGCCACCTGGTCCCCTGCCAGACACTCTGCCTCCAGCTCGCTCCTACCCAGACAGCCTGCACCCGGCCTCATACCTTGCCCACTGCCTTGCTTCCTGCCCCCTCCGTTTCCCCCTGCTTCTGCACCCTATCTGCCATCCAGATCTCGCACCCTCACCCCCTCCTACACTCCACCTTCCGCCCAGATCCTGCACCCCCATCCCTATCTCGCTCACTGGCAGCCCTGTCCTGCACACTTAACCCCTCATTTTTGGTCCCATCTCAGAGCCTAGGCAGTCCCACAAAATCTACTAACCTTGGAACTCCAGAAGAGTACAAATCTGTCCTGAGGCCTTGAACTTCAATCCACCCTGGCCCTCCACCCACCATGAGACTGGAGCACCAGGGGCGTGAGGTGTTTCAGCTGGGGGGTCAGTCACATCAGTGAGGGTTGGGGGTTTTTAGAGGGGTATTTTTTGCTTCTTGCTTGTATGTCCCTGACTGATTTTTCTGTGGGTCACTTGTTCCCGTTCCCAAATAGGTTCCTCACTTCTGCCATAAAGAAAGACAATGTTGAAACCTTTGGTGTTGGACATAAATTCTTTATTTAAAAATGAAGCCTGGCCAACAAGCCCCCAATTTGGTCCCAGCTCCCATCTGGCTGCAGCATCATAACACTCTAGCACCCCCCACTCCTCTACACACCAATCCTTAGTCCATCATACACCTGAACCCGCTGCCCTGAACCCCTCATACCTCGTGTGACGGTGCATTGGGGACCCCCCCCCCGATCCTGCCCCCCCATAGCAGCCAGAACAGGCTCTGCCAGCCAGTAGAATAGAGAGGGTTTATTGCTTCACCAGGATACAGCACAGCATAAATGTGATGTGGCTACAGGAGTCAGGGCCAGGATGCCTGAGACCCCTTGGGTTAGGGGGTCCATCTCCCCCTCAGCAGTCAGCTTAGTCTGTTCCCTTCATGTTTCCCAGCCAGGAACTGCCTTGCTCTCAGACCCTACCCCCCCAGCCAGGTGTTCATCTCTGCATTCCTTCCTTTGTCTCTCCCCCTGGGAAGAGCAGTGTTATCTGCTCATGCTGCGACTAGATGTCTGGGCCAATACACATGTGGGTGATTCAGTGGGAATCACACATCACAGAGCAGGGGAACCCTGGGTTACAGAGCAGACAGCACCCCCACTACGTCACACCCCCACATCCCCAAGCTCCTGCCCTGCACCCCCACACACTCCAACCCCCTGCCCTGAACCCATCCTACCCCCACATTCCCTAACTCCTTCATCCCCAGTCCCCTTCCATAACACTCTTGCGCCCCCTCCACAGCAAGCTTGTGCTCTGAATCCATCCTACACCTAAATACACCCCAACCCAGACTCCTGTACCCCCACATCCCCAGCTCCTGGCCATAAGTTTGATAGAAGACAGCCTGAATGTGCATATGAAGTTGGATTTGACCAGTTATGATGTAAACTTCAAAGAAATGTATGAAAAGATGCAACAGCAGAAGTCCCATTAAATAAAGTCTGTGAGTACAAAGTTTCATTTATGCTATTATTAATCATTGTCATTTATCAATAATATTAAATTGTATTTTTTCAGTCATGCAAAGAAAGTCATGGACATTCTTATACAGCTCTTTGTTGACCACTTGTTCTGAATTTTGATGTATAGAAGAGTCCTGATTATCCGACCTAAACGGAAGCGACAGGTGGTCGGATTACCGAAAATATCGGATAATAGGTTGTACAGGGAGGGAGGGATAGCTGCCGGCGCCGCTTGGTCCCCATCCCTGCCTGGCCCCTTCCCTCCCTCCAGCTCCCGGGTGCGGTGCCATTCTCCTGACTCACTCTCGGGAGCCGCCGGAAGGGGAGGGG